AGTTGCACATCCTTCTAGTTGCTGTATGTGGGACGCGGCCTCAGCATGGCCGGAGAAGCGGTGTGTCGGTGTGCGCCCGGGATCCGAACCTGGGCCGCCAACAACGAAGCACGTGCACTTAACCGCTAAGCCACAGGGCTGGCCCAACCCCCTTATTTTCTTGATGGCTTGATGGCATGATGAACCTGCAACATCCAGAAGCAGTTTCACCCACATCATTTTCCCCAGACCTCCGTGTCACCAACCCTCTGATCTTGTTCCTTCCAAATCTCTGAATATCCAGCTAAATTGCTAGCCACTGGTTCTGTCCAAGCCACTGGCTTTCTCTCCTTCCAAGTGACAACTAAATGTACTGCTCAAAGTTTTGCCCACTGGATTGCCTTTCTCCCACTATCTTTTAGGGCCACCTCCCAGAGGGGCTATAGTAATACATCAATCCACTTCTGATTAATGCCAGTGTATTGTGCTTCATTCAGATTTTTCTTTCTCAATCATCTGGCCACAGGCAACTCCACATGAGTTCACAGATGCGGGCTGATAGAGCAGGAGGGAGTGCCATGGGGATCTTAGATATTGCCATAATCACCACTGAAATCAGGGAGCTTTTTTCAATGGCAGCATCTCCCATAGACATTCCCCACCTACAGTGGCTGCCCAAGGACGCTGATGTTCCCCACTCCAATGTATTTCTCAATGAGTGGTGCAGGAGGGTCCTCTGGATCTTCTTGGGGGACATAGATAGGGAGTGAATGAATAGGTTACATACGATTAAAGATGGCTCTGCCTCCTGCCTGCCTTCCAAACCTCCCACCAGTGCTTCACATTTGGGGAGCTTAAATCATGCCCCAGGACCTGAGTGCTTCAAGGGAAATATAGTTTTTAGCCATTGATACTCTGCAATAGCAGAGAATATAGCAGAGAAGTAGGAAAGGATGCCCAGAGCTAGTGCCCAACAGTTAATGTATAGTTGAGGTCCATCCCGGGACCACCTCTCTCCCTCACCTCAGCTAAGATGTTGAGGGTGCTGACTCCTGGTTCTAAATCTAGCTCTGCCGCTTACTAGCTGTGTTAGTTAACTTCTCTGAGCCTCAGGCCTCAATTTTCTCATCTGTTAAATGGGCATAGTAACAGCACCTACCTTGCAGTATTGTTGTGAGCTAAGTCCTCAGACTCCTCAATCGCTGTGTCAGTGAGCCAGTATTACTGTGGGAGTGTGTCATAGTCCATTAGGTGAGTAGGATTTCTTAAAAACCGAGGACTACTGGTAAAGTCTTTGGTCGTAAACTCCATGAGGTGCCGCAGGGAGCAGGTGGCTTGCGTAACTGCTGGCCTGGGCGGTACTTGGTACAGCGGCTGGCAAGTAACTGGATGGATGGGTGGATACAGATTGAAGAAAGATTATGCCCTCTGGCCTCTTCATCCCCAGCCTTGTCAATGTGACGACAGGGAGGGGTGCTTTGATGTGCAGGGCCCTTCAATGGAATCCTGGCTTTGCCACTTTCCAGAGTCAGGACCCTGGGTGAGATAATTGACTCAGTTTCTGCTACTGTAAAATGGAGCCGATCATATCCACTTCCCCAATCCCACCTCAAAGGTTTGCGTTGAAGAGGAAAGGGGATCGTTGATCCCAGAGCCCAGTTCAGCGAGCGAGTGCCTGGGGTGTCCTCCTCACCCTTGCCGGCACAGGGGCCAGTTACAACCCCAGACGCCGGGGTGGGCGCCGAGCCCGCCCCGCGGCCCGGGGCCAGTGCGGGCCTGTGCGGGAGGGGCGGGC